ACAGTGCGGCAATATGGCTGACCCTCCTCTCACTTCAGCGCTCCGACTATTGCCGCCTGCTTGCATGAGTTCCTGTTTGTCACCGGTGCCAGGGAGAGGGGCCGTCATTCGTACAACAGCGACTCCCATCAATGACACGTAGCTTATACTGAAAACTGTTGAACTCAAGCAAGCTTGTAGAAAAGTGCATAAAATAAGGGCAAAATCCCCCAACTGATCTACTGTAGGGTTAAAACGGTATGTTTATTATGGGGACATATTATTTTAAATGAGTACCCTAATTTGTGATAAGTAATTCAAAGTAATTTGAGGTTAAAATATATGGCATAACTTTATCATAGCAAAATGTTGACTATTGAAGGATCAGTGATTCAACGTAGCACCCAATTCTGTGGTCAATCACTCTTTATGGGCACATTGCTTCTGGTACCCTGACAACCCTTTATTGGGCACCTATGTCATTTATCACCGTTGAAACCACTCAGTAGGCCTACATTTATAGGCTACTGCGCCACCATTTCACACTGAATCTGAATCTCACTACATCATCCAGGCCAGAATAGAATAGAATATGACTTTGGTTACTGTCAAAGCAAGTTTTCTTAATAATATATGCTGCTCATTGTTGACTAGGTCTATCAAACAATTATACAGTTATGGATATAGCCTGTTATATTTGGCTATTATAAGACAGGCACTATACAGCAGATTTATTTCACAAATGCTATGGCTTCACTCCATGACCTTGAGGATAAAACAGGATGGAATAGTATCGTCATTGTACAGAAGGGAAGACCTTGAGATAACCAAGAGGCCACATCATAAGAGTGTTAAAATGAGTGCATTATGTGAGCCATAAGCTTATTATCAGAGTAGCTTTAACATGATTCATTGGGTTTAGGGTTTTGGCGTATATATGTTGGAATTTTGGTGTACAAAAAAAATTAATAAAGCAAAATTAATGTACATTAAAATGTCCTTGATAAAGACACCCCATAATCTTTATTTTACGCATTGCTGTTGCTATACAAGATAGACTAACTAACCCACAGAAGGCCTATAGGCTATTATGTGAAGTGGTAATTTAATAGCACACTAAATCATTCTAACAAAAGAACTATGGTGTCATAAACAAACAAAAGAAAGATATTAGATGCACGTGTATATTTGTTTGACTACCATACTTTTGTTTCTATTTGTATAGTTGAGGAATAGCGCGCGCGTCAGAAGCACACGCCCTGTAAACTCAACCTAGGAAGCGCTGTGAAAGGGTTGGGGAGGTTTCATAACTGGAAACGGACCAATAGTTGAGCAGGATTAAAATAGAATGGTATATATCAGAGATAACGCTGAAGTGCGTGTACTAAAATGCGCGCTGTAGGTTAGAGCGCACCACATGCAGTCTGTTGGACCGAAACGGCCACTTGTAAAGAGGAAATTGTTTACAATCTATTAATAAACAACAAGGATAGTGTACTGAAACACAGATGTACTGTACTTTCCTGCATTTGACTTATTGGTTTAGAAAATGATACTTTTTTTAGCATAATGGTATGACCTCAAGAGCTAAGGTTTGGTTTGGTAATCATTTTCAAGTCGCCAATATTTTTGTTTTAGCAGATTACTTTCAAGTAAAGGCGCCAGTACAAATACTATAGGATTTTTGTTGAGGGATGTGACTTTTTGTAAACAGAAACAGGAATTTAGTGATTGAACACCAGTATAATTTCAAGAGACATACAAACAGAATTTTGGGAAAATGACTATACCCCTGGGGAAAATAAGACAAGCAACCAATTGCAGATCATGGGCTACTGAAACATGAGCCTACAACACATCAAAAGTCAGTCAACTCTGTCTACAACAGTAAGGGTAAGGACAGGAAACTAATAGGCTGTAAAAGCACTGTCCATGAAACCAGAGACTAACGCGATTTGTGGAAAATGCTTAGAGTTTAATCTATGGTCCAGAAAAATCTTTATTGAAGACAGTTGTTTGAGATTTTTCATCTTGAAATCATAAATATAAACGTTGAGGATATTTTTTCAATAAGCATTTCATGTACTGTGTTGCACAGATATGTAGAGATTTTCCTTTCACCATTCAGCTCAACTGTTCATTTGAAATGCATTCCCTGTAAAGAAAACAGACAAAAAAACAAAAACAATATGGTTTATGTTAACTTTCAGGACACAGTAGCAGCAGCAGAGATTCACTTTGTAATGGATTTTATTACAGTGGCTTGCGAAAGTATTCACACCCCTTGGCATTTTTCCTATTTTGTTGCCTTACAACCTGGAATTCAAATGGATTTTTGGGGGGTTTGTATCATTTGATTTACACAACATGCCTACCACTTTGAAGATGCAAAATATTTTTTATTTGAAACAAACAAGAAATAAGACAAAAAAACTGAAAACTTGAGGGTGCATAACTATTCACCCCCCCCAAAGTCAATACTTTGTAGAGCCACCTTTTGCAGCAATTACAGCTGCAAGTCTCTTGGGGTATGTCTCTATAAGCTTGGCACATCTAGCCACTGGGATTTTTGCCCATTCTTCAAGGAAAAACTGCTCCAGCTCCTTCAAGTTGGATGGGTTCCGCTGGTGTACAGCAATCTTTAAGTCATACCACAGATTCTCAATTGGATTGAGGTCTGGGCTTTGGCTAGGCCATTCCAAGACATTTAAATGTTTCCCCTTAAACCACTCAAGTGTTGCTTTAGCAGGATGTTTAGGGTCATTGTCCTGCTGGAAGGTGAACCTCTGTCCCAGTCTCAAATCTCTGGAAGACAAACAGGTTTCCCTCAAGAATTTCCCTGTATTTAGCGCCATCCATCATTCCTTCAATTCTGACCAGTTTCCCAGTCCCTGCCAATGAAAAACATCCCCACATCATGCTGCTGCCACCACCATGCTTCACTGTGGGGATGGTGTTCTCGGGGTGATGAAAGGTGTTGGGTTTGCGCCAGACATAGCGTTTTTCTTGATGGCCAAAAAGCTCAATTTTAGCCTCATCTGACCAGAGTACCTTTTTCCATATGTTTGGGGAGTCTCCCACATGGCTTTTGGCGAACACCAAACGTGTTTGCTTATTTTTCTTTTAAGCAATAGCTTTTTTCTGGCCACTCTTCCGTAAAGCCCAGCTCTGTGGAGTGTACAGCTTAAAGTGGTCCTATGGACAGATACTCCAATCTCCGCTGTGTTGCTTTGCAGCTCCTTCAGGGTTATCTTTGGTCTTTCTGTTACCTCTCTGATTAATGCCCTCCTTGCCTGGTCCTTGAGTTTTGGTGGGCGGCTCTCTCTTGGCCTGGTTTGTTGTGGTGCCATATTCGTTCCATTTTTTAATAATGGATTTAATGGTGCTCCGTGGGATGTTCAAAGTTTCGGATATTTTTTTATAACCCAACCCTGATCTGTACTTCTCCACAACTTTGTCCCTGACCTGTTTGGAGAGCTCCTAGGCCTTCATGGTGCTGCTTGCTTGGTGGTGCCCCTTGCTTAGTGGTGTTGCAGACTCTGGGGCCTTTCAGAACAGGTGTATATATACTGAGATCATGTGACAGATCATGTGACACTTAAATAAAGTGTGCAATTCAACTAATTATGTGACTTCTGAAGGTAATTGGTTGCACCAGATCTTATTTAGGGGCTTCATAGCAAAGGGGGTGAATACATATGCACGCACCACTTTTCCGTTATTTATGTTTTAGAATTTCTTTAAAAAAGTTATTTTTTTCATTTCACTTCACCAATTTGGACTATTTTGTGTATGTCCATTACATGAAATCCAAATAAAAATCAATTTAAATTACAGGTTGTAATGCAACAAAATAGGAAAAACACCAAGGGGGATGAATACTTTTGCAAGGCACTGTATCTACAGTACATATGATTAAAGGTGCTGTGCTGCCTGGCATAGATTAAACATTTTAAAATAATCCATTGGTGTTCGTTCAGAATATCAACCAATTATGTGATTGGATTCTGTTTGGAGAAAGACCAGACAGATATGAGTGATGAAACTGTCTGAATGGAGGTGAATGCCCAATACGTAATCTTGATGGATTTTTGCATTTAGCCAGGACCGTTGGATTAACAACAACATGCTGAAGCAAATATCGTTTTCTTTCCCCAACACTGTGGCTTTAGACAGTACAAACATATCTGGGACCAGACCAGAATGGCTATAATTGTATGGGTTATTTACTGTATATGCAATAGCAAACATGAGTCATCAGGTGTAAACACACTGCTCTAAGCCTCTTCTATTCTTACAGATTTGTGTGGTTAAAATAATTAATATCAACCTGCTTCATCAGTCACTCTACCATCATGATTTTGATTGCAACTCTTGAGGGAGGTGCTGTTGAGTGGTGTAGGCCAGCATGAGAAACATGTAGTACCGCGTCGCTCAAAGGGCCGAATCCTAACTTGAGATGAGCACATCTGACTTTTGTGTGTAACATCATGCATGATAGATTTGTATGAAAACTTGAGTTACGCAGGCATGGATTTCAAGCTACACTCTTAAAGGGTTCTTCGGCTGTCCCCATAGGAGAACCCTTTGAAGAACCATTTTTGGTTGCAGGTAGAGCCCTTTTGGTTCCAGATAGAACCCTTTTGACAGAGGGTTCTACATGGAACCCAAAAGGGTTCTACCCGGAACCAAAAAGGGTTGTCCTATGGGGACAGCCAAAGAACCCTTTAAGAGTGTAGCTTGAAATCCATGCCTGCGTAACTCAAGTTATAATACAAATATATCATGCATGTTACACACAACAGTCAGACTGAAGTGTGCTCATCTCAAGTTAGGATTCGGTCTCTTTCATTCAAACTAACACACTCACAGCATCAATGGTTCTGGCTCCAATATCAAATAATTAACCTTAAGAAGCATACAGGCAGTGGGTTTATACATTTGTTTATACCATCAACAACTGCTGGTTCTTTCGGATTTGCTGATGTTACCTGTATGCCCCCCCATAGTGGCACAGGCCCTCATTGGGACGAGTGGTCGTGGGGCCTCTTCTGGGTGACATCATGGATGAGCACTGAAACAAAGACGGAGAGGGTATGCTATAACTCTGTTGGTCTGCGTCAGAGTACCCTGGTGGGTTTAACCCTTGTGGGTCTAGTACCCCTTGTGGGTATAAAACAGATATAAACGTGTCTTTGAAATGGCATGTTATATGTTGCATCATGGTCTTTGTAGGATATTTGAGTTCAGAACCGCAGCACTGTAAATGCCAGGGGGGCTGGTTCTCTAAATTACAATGGCCTCTGTAGTATTAAACAATGGCCACTGGATGGAGCCAAAACCATGTTCATGACCAGTTAAATCTCAAGAGGGCCTCACAGCAAATGCACTTTTGTGGTAGGCCTATGGGAATGTGATTACTGCACAGATTTGGAGATGCAAAGTATTGATCTTTGAAAAATCTCAGAACTGCATCCATCCACTTACTGTCCAGCACTGCTCTTGCCACGTATCTCTTCTCCAAAGTGTTACCGACATGAGCCATCAGCCACGGGAGGAAGCCAGTCTCAATATCTGGACATTAGAGAAGACCAGAGCAAACATGCAAAACACATTGAATGTTAAACACTGTAAATATCCATGTTGGTACTTGAACTATACATAGGGAGAATCTCAATTGCATACTCCTTGCGTCCTCTCTCGCCTCCTTCTCAAAACCCATTGTATGAGAAAGCCAGTTGTCCCTGCCCTCTGACCTTCTCCTCCAATGAGTTTTGAGAAGGAGGTGAGGAGAGAGGACGCGAGGAGTATACATTGAGATTCTCCCATGGATCTTCATGTGGACCCCAGGAAGACCAGCTGCTGCTATCGCAACAGCTAATGGGGATTCTAATAAGGGCCCTGGGGGAAGACTGACCTCTCTCCACAGGGTCGTAGAAGTAGCCGTGGTCCCTCAGCGTGGTGTAGACCGAGGGGAGCAGATCGGCCAGGTAGTGCTGGGCAAACGCCCGCGCCGCAATCTTGTCCGCAGTCTCCATCTCCTTCTTCAGCACCTCTCGCTGCTGGGTGATCCGACGCTCCTGTTTAGAGAAGAGAGATAATGAAAGTCATGGTTCACTTGTTTCCCTCCAAAGAGTCTGTCTGGAACCTCATGCTATGGTGGCCGAGCAGGTATCGAACCCAGGTCAGGGATTGACATTAAGGGTTGCCTCATTGCCTGAGGCAAGTGACCTGAGTAGTCGCGCAAGTTGAGCCTGCTCTGAGGTTGCCCCATTTGCTCTGAGGTTGCCCCATTAGGCAGGCGTTTTATTTTATTTGACTGATAACAGCCAAAATACTCCTGACTTGCCCAATGGACGAGTGTCTTTCAGACCTTAATGTCAATCCCTGCAGGCTGATTAATTGCCTAGGCTTTCACTCGGGAAGCTAATGTTCAGGTCTCAGGCAAGGTTACTCATCACACGAGCAGACCACCACTCAGCACCCTAACAAACCACCTCTGTTACACTATTGATTGAGAGTAATGGACATTAACTTTTTAAACTAACCTATCCCTTCATTTATCTATTGACCTGAGAATTGGTTACATGTATCCGTGTGGCAGCAGCCATGTCTGGTGGTCCTGTTCCTGTACCTTCTCCTCACGGTGGCGTCTCTCTTGCTCCTCCAACCGCTGCACCTCCACCAGCTCGGCGTTGCGGAGCTCCTCGAAGGCCCGCTGCTGCGCCCGCAGGCTGGCCAGCTCCTCCTCCTCCATGACCTCCAGCAGAGCCTGCTCCACCGTCTTCCCCACCAGCACCTCCAGCACCGGGCGCACCACCATGTCAAAGTCAAACAGCTGCAGGGCCAGGCAGGGGACATGGGCAGGGAGGGGTTAAAGAGTGAGTTTCAACAGATGAAACTACACCTTATGGAACAATGCGGACTGTGAAGAGACACACCCACACAGGCACACGCACGCACGCACGAACATGCACACACACAAACACACACACACTGTAATATTGTTGTATTATACATTTTGTATTGTAGACATGTAGTGGTAGAGTAGTGTTGTAATAATGTGTTGTTTGGACCCCAGGAAGAGTATGGGGATCCATAATAAATACAAATACATGCCTAATGTGTTTTAAACCTGTTGCCAATCCATTTGAAGGAAGCTCCTTCACAAATGTTGAATTGTTTTCATTGACCAGCAATGAAAAAGAGGGAAAAATAAAAATATGTTCTGTCATCGTGTAATACCTCTCCCTCCTCGATCTGTGTGGCCACATCTTTACCGGACTTGGCAGGAATGAAGAGGGGGGTGGCCGGTTTGTCCAGGAAGGCATCGGTCTGGCACTCGACGCTGGTGTCCTCTATGCGATCATTCAGCTCCTCAAGATACAGCTCTGAAATAATCCAAGTAATTATTTCCAGCTCTGGAAATAATCCATCCTCTGTGATGTCCTATCAATCAAAAATGACAGTAGGCAGCTGAGATGCTGTACTGTTTTACCCATAGATTTAGGTTTTACCTGTCTGTACATCTATGTGCTTCCTTCCCTCCAGAGCCTCTGGAGTCCTGAGCCTGAACTGCTCCATGGCACGCTTCCGAGCGAAGGCTCTCCTTCTGGCCTCCTGCTGTCTCTGGACCTCAATAGGGTCATGTTGAGCTGCCTGGCCAATACATAATGATACAAGATGTAATGGAGAAAAAAATTCCAATGTGATTATCACCTTCAATATCTGACTTGGTGAGCTGGAGGGATTCATTGAATACTCACCACTGGTAGGATGTGCTGGGCATATGTGTTTCCCCTGACAACACGTCGGTCATACATGATGTTTCCATAATTACTCTGTTCATCACTTCTGCATGGCAAGGAAACAGGCGCTCACGTTTAAAAAAAAAAGTAAAATCTTGATAAAAACTAATTAGCATACACTTATCCACAACCGTGCATTACTGCAGTTACATTAATGCACCTGTTTTTGCACCTGTTTTCGATCAATCAAGACGGGATAGACTACTTATTGAAAACCTGAACAGTTGCTAACAACATTTCAGCTGCCTGACCCTGCAACACATACAGTACAACAACTGACAGGAATCGAAATGGAACTGACCCCAACTCTGCTATGCTGGCTACTTGCTAGCTACTCATTTCATTATGCATTATGCAAAGAAATCTACTTGTTTATGCTGCTGAAGTGAGCCTTTGGCTAAATTGTCAGTTACTGACAGCATATGTAGTTATCAAACCAATGATGTCTATCAAACTTACTGCTCTGCGACGGGCTCTCTGTATTTGGTACGGTTTTGAACAGGTCTTGGGCGACTGGCGAATGTGTAAGTCCCGTTTGGAGCCTCCTTTTGAGGCTGTAAAACGGATGTCATTCTTTGACTTACTGTTAGCTATCAACTAATATCTAACTAGCAAAATTATTCTAATGAAAACAAACCGTATTATTTGATAAAAACAGAAAAACTGGTAGCTAAAGGAAAGTGAAGACGAGTGTCTAGTTGATGTTTGTCATAGCAACGGTATCCAGGAAGTGGAACTTTGCTGTTACATTACTTCCTCGGTTGCCTGCTTGTAGTTTTTTTTTTTTTGGGGGGGGGGGGGGGGGGGGGCTAGCTAAGACAGGCATTTTAATTTTATGCAAGACTGAGATATATTCAGCTCAAGTAATTTCATTTTAATATGAATGTCTTCACACAAGTATTCACACCCCTTGACTTTTTCCACATTTTGTTGTGTTACAGCCTGAATTTAAAATGGATTAAATTGAGATTTTGTTATGGCCAGCCTAAATAAGTTTAGGAGCAAACATTTGCTTAACAAGTCACATAATACACTGAGTGTACAAAACTTGAAGAACAACTTCCTAATATTGAGTTGCACCCCCACCCCCTCTTTTGCCCTCAGAACAGCCTAAATTCATCGGGGCATGGACTCTACAAGGTGTCGAAAGCACTCCACAGGGATGCTGGCTCATGTTGACTGCAATGCTTCCCACAGTTGTGTCAAGTTGGCTGGATGTCTTTTGGGAGGTGGATCATTCTTGATACACACGGGAAACTGTTGAGCGTGAAAAACCCAGAAACGTTACAGTTCTTGACACAAACCGGTGTGCCTGGCACCTACTACCATACCCCGTTCAAAGGCACTTAAATCTTTTGTTTTGCCCATTCACCCTCTGAATGGCACACATACACAATACATGTCTCAATTGTCTCAAGGCTTTAAAATCCTTCTTTAACCTGTCTCCACCCCTTCTTCTACAATGATTGAAGTGTATTTAACAAGTGACATCAATAACAAGTGACTTCACCTGGTCAGTCTATGTCATGGAAAGAGCAGGTGTTCTTAATATTTTGTACACTCAGTGTAAGTTGCATGGACTCACTCTGTGTGCAATAATAGTGTTTAACATGATCTCTGTACCCCACACATGCAATTCCAATACAACACTTCACTGATTACCACTCTCCATATTTTCAAGCATAGAGGTGGCTGCATCATGTTATGGGTAGTTATGGGTATGCTTGTAATTGTTAAGGACTCTGGAGTTTTTCAGAATAAAAAAGAAACATAATGGAGCTAAGCACAGGCAGAATCCTAGAGGAAAACCTGGTTAAGTCTGCTTTCTACCAGACACTGGGAGATTAAGTCACCTTTGAGCAGGACAATAACCTAAAAAACAAGGCAAAATCTACACTGGAGTTGCTTACCAAGAAGACAGTGAATGCTCCTGAGTGGCCGAGTTACAGTTGTGACTTAAATCTGCTTGAAAATCTATGGCAAGACCTGAAAATTGTTGTCTAGTAATGATCAAGAACCAATTTGACAGAGCTTGAAGAATTTTGAAGGAAAAAAAAAAGGTGTGGAAAGCTCTTAGAGAAAGACTCAAAGCTGTAATCCCTGCCAAAGGTGATTCTAACATGTATTGACTCAGGGGGTTGGATACTTTTCTAATCAAGATATATTAGTGTTTTATTTTTCAGAATTGTTTTACAAATGTTATAAATTTTCTTCCACTTTGGCATTACAGAGTATTTTGTATATATTGTTGACAGAAAAATGACATTTAAATCAATTTTAATCCCACTTTGTAACACAACAAAATGTGGAAAAAGTCAAGGAGTGTGAATACTTTCTGATGGCACTGTATGTACAGAAGTGGTATACTGTATTGTGAATTGACACACTCTGTTCATAATACTTTTGTTTAGCATTCTAAACATTCTCACTGTGACCAGGAAGCAGTTGTGGTCTCATCGTGAACAGAGAGAACACTAGTCGATGCATGAGTGGCATGAAACCACATTTGAAATGTTCTTATTTTGCTCTGCTTATATGGAGTTAAAACATGGGCACAAAAAAAGACTTAACAACAATATATGAAACAGACTTCGGCTATCGCACTTCGACTTGCCTCAAGAAAAAAATGTGTATGCAGGAACAGCCAAAATAAATACCTGCCGAACACCAAAATGTACAAAAACGTCAAAAAGGTTCATCATAATATATGTGCGAACTGTTTCGAATGGAAAGCATGAGACAGACCTTAATCTTTGTTTACACAGGCAGCCCAATTCTGATCTTTTTTTCCACTAATTGGTCTTTTGACAAATTTTCAGAGATGATCTGATTGGTCAAAAGACCACTTAGCAAAAAAAAAATATCTGAATTGGGCTGCCTGTGTAAACACAGCCTAAAAGTCCCCAAAAGTGAAAGAAAGGAATATATGCCACAGGAAGTAGACACAGGCTAGATCTATGTAGTGACAAAGGTGAAACCACTGTGGTAAAAGTAAACATTGCATGAGATGCTTTGCTTGGCTGCAACTATGCAAGTTTGTACAAACAGTAATGATGCAGTATTTATGGTTACACTCTGTTATCTTTTCAATTAGGCTCTCTGGTCCTCACCACTCACACACAGACATTATTGAATTGTATTTGTGAATGTGTATTTATATTATGTAGTGAACCAGGTACCTGCCTGCATTCCATTGTTCATATTCAAACCATAGTTGATGTATTTCCAACCATTTCATCCCATTCAGGCTATTCTTTATTGTGTAATTGTTGTTTAATGTATTTTTGATATATGTATGATAGCCAGTGGGACAACCACATTTTTTTATGGGGGGTGGGGGAAGAAGGATTACTTTATACTATTCCAGGTATTCCTTAAAGAGGTAGGGTTTCAAGTGTCTCCGGAAGGTGGTCAGTGACTCTACTGTCCTGGCGTCGTGGGGGAGCTTGTTCCACCATTGGGGTGCCAGAGCAGCGAAAAGCTTTGACTGGGCTGAGCGGGAACTGTGCTTCCGTAGAGGTAGGGGAGCTAGCAGGCCAGAGGTGGATGAACGTAGTGCCCTCGTTTGGGTGTAGGGTCGGATCAGAGCCTGAAGGTAAGGAGGTGCCGTTCCCCTCACAGCTCCGTAGGCAAGCACCATGGTCTTGTAGTAGATGCGAGCCTCAACTGGAAGCCAGTGGAGTGTGCGGAGGAGCGGGGTGACATGAGAGAACTTGGGAAGGTTGAACACCAGATGGGCTGCAGCATTCTGGATAAGTTGTATGGGTTTAATGGCACAGGCAGGGAGCCCAGCCAACAGCGAGTTGCAGTAATCCAGGCGGGAGATGACAAGTGCCTGGATTAGGACCTGTGCCGCTTTCTGTGTAAGGTAGGGTTGTACTCTCCGAATGTTGTAGAGCATGAACCTGCAGGATCGGGTCACCGCTTTGATGTTAGCGGAGAACGACAGGGTGTTGTCCAGGGTCACGCCAAGGTTCTTTGCACTCTGGGAGGAGGACACAATGGAGTTGTCAACCGTGATGGCAAGATCATGGAGCGGGCAGTCCTTCCCCAGGAGGAAGAGCAGCTCCGTCTTGCCGAGGTTCAGCTTGAGGTGGTGATCCGACATCCACGCTGATATGTCTGCCAGACATGCAGAGATGCGATTCACCACCTGGTTATCAGAAGGGGGAAGGGAGAACATTAATTGTGTGTCGTCTGCGTAGCAATGATAGGAGAGACCATGTGAGGATATGACAGACCAAGTGACTTGGTGTATAGAGAGAATAGGAGAGGGCCTAGAACTGAGCCCTGGGGGACACCAGTGGTGAGAGCACGTGGTGCAGAGACAGATTCTCGCCATGCCACCTGGTAGGAGCGACCTGTCAGGTAGGACGCAATCCAAGAGTGAGCAGCGCCAGAGATGCCTAACTCGGAGAGGGTGGAGAGGAGGATCTGATGGTTCACAGTATCAAAGGCAGCGGATAGGTCTAGAAGGATAAGAGCAGAGGAGAGAGAGTAAGCTTTAGCAGTGCGGCGAGCTTCCGTGACACAGAGAAGAGCAGTCTCAGTTGAATGACCAGATAAGATTAATCTTATCAACCTGCTAATTATTAGAATCAGGTATGTTAGATTAGGGTTGGAGCAAAAACCTACAGAACGGTAGCTCTCCAGGAACAGGGTTGGGCAGTCCTGCACTAGAGGCTATGGCACAGCGAACATAATTGCTTGTTTTTTGTTGTGTATATTATTATTAGCTAAAACGTAACAGAAAGTGTTACAACACTAAACAAATTAATTAGGCTACATCTTACCTTTGGAAATATTTTCAGTGTATTGATCTACTCCTGCCCTTTTCAGTTGTGGGGGTCATGGGGTCAACATTTACATAAAACATGATTAGTGGAAAAAACCTGCTGAACACCAAAATATACAAAAACATCAAAAAAGTTCATCATAATATATGTGCGAACTGTTTCGACTGGAAAGCATGAGACAGACCTTAGGCTGCATTTACACAGGCAGCCCAATTCTGGCAAGAGCCCAATATAGCCCATGAACACTTTAATAAAAAATCTCATAAGGGCTATTTTCAAACCATCCCTTTACGTCCTCCTTTGAATAGCTGGAGGGATGGGATCTCCCATTCATTAAAAGTATGGGATGCTTTATTGATGTTTGTTGACTTCCTCCCTCACCCTCTCTTCACCCTGTTCTCTCTCTGTGTGTACATTGTTTACTGCTGTCACCGGTCATTAAGGGTTGTAAAAGGGTACAGCCTGGTATTGTAGTGTGCCTCTGCTCATTAGTCATTTCTGTAGACTCCATGTTCTTATACTGACGTAAAAACATCCATTCATTCTGTCAATCAGTCAGTCCTTTACTTTACAAGGCTCAATGGCTGCGTTTACACAGGCAGCCCAATTCTGATATTTTTTACACTAATCTTTTCGCATCAGATCTTTTTCAATTTTTCTTTTAACCTTTTGTAGTTGGCACTGTAGAGGTCATGTGTGCAGGTACAGTAACCTGGCTGACCCCTTTCTCTGTAGCCTCAGTCTCCATCATGCTTTATTCCATTGTCATCTATGGTCAGTAAGGCTCATAATGGTTGGGTTCAGCATAACAAAACATTGGATCTTCATGTGCTGTATAAAATACATTGGTGGCACCTTAATTGGGGAGGACGTGCTCGTGGTAATGGCTGGAGCGGAATTGGTGGAATGGTATCAAATACATCAAACACATGGTTTGATGCCATTCCATTTGCTCTGTTCCAGGCATTATTATGAGCCTAATGTTTTCTACCATATATTACAACAGGACATAAGAGCATTGTCTAACGTCAGGCTGTGTCACGCCTGCATGATGCTAGTACCTCAACTGTCAAACACAGACGTATAGCGGCAGTTAGGCTAGCGGTTAGAGCATTGGGCCAGTAACTGAAAGGTTGCTGGTTCAAATACTTTTAGCTGACAAGGTGAAAGATCTGTTGATGTGCCCTTGAGCAAGGTACTTAACCCTAATTTGCTCAATGGGGTGTTGTACTACTATGGCTGACCCTATAAAGCAACACATTTCACTGCACCTGTCTGGTGTATGTAACGATACAACATCTTGAATTTTTTTACGTAAGACAATAGACATTAGAGTGCCATAATTCTCTGGGTGAATAGTTGGAACATTCTACAGGACCTGAAAAACATCCTGAAGCATCACATAGCCTATTGGCCATAGCTTCATATTCTCTTCACACAGTCCCCGGAATGTGTTCAGAAAACAAATAGCATGCTTTGTGTGTTAATCCAACTCTCTTCATGTCTCTCTTTCCCATTGCTTAAGTATTATAATGACCGTTGCCAAAATAATAATAATAATTTGGTGGGTGCTTAAATTGTCCTCTTTCACACATGTAGAAGTGTGTATTAATACGCATGACCCTGGAGCAATTAGTGTTAAGTGCCTTGCTCAAGGGCAAATCAACAGATTTTTATGGACGGACACGTTGCCCTAGGTCGGTTACGCTATTTTCTCATCACGGCTACTGGCCTAACAGGCATCTTGGATTTTAGGAAATGAATCACGCTCCTAGTAAATTAATCTAGGAAAGATTCTAGGAAGTCTAGGAAATGAATCCTTCTTGGTGAGAATAGTAATGAGTAGGTAAGGCCTTAATCATCACAGTTAAATGAATACTTTAGTCCATTAAGGGTGTCTGCCCTGCAGGCAAATTAAAGCCTACTGGAACTGAACACCATTAATGACTTAGAGACCAACACTAAGAGAGGAAACCTCTAACTAAAAAGTCGAGAGAGGAAGGCGAAGCCGTGGCATCGGATTGGCTGATCAAGGCAGCCATGACAACGAGCAATTCAGAGAAAAACCAAATCTGTCCACGTGATCAGTGACTGATTTCCTCTTCCCGACCCACCAGCCAGAACATGCTGTTCTCTCAATGAAGGCTGTTAGATTGTGTTGCATAATTGGCCTAAAAAGGAGAAGCAAGCCGGGCCTAACTGGTCTAACGCTCACCGTGACGACCCTGCATGGCCCATATTAGTTCCTCATTAATGCATTTGCTAATGGCGTAGTCGAATGGTGAGAGGAAGTCCATCTAACCTAGCCTGGTTCCATTATGATTTGTGTGTTCTTAGTGTGACAATGGTAAGACAGCGCAAACAGATCTGGGACCAGGCTACATCTACAAGCCTACAATCCTTCTAAAATGACTGTGTTAATGTTGGTGGAGCCCATGGGATGAACTGAGAAAGCAGTATGGCTTATGTAAGTATGGGAGCTCATCTCTTGTACTTGCATGAGTACAAGGTTGTTTTTGAGTGGCACTGCGTGCTTGGGGTTGCAATGGCCAAATGATTCTAACCAAAGCTTCAAAGTCAAAGGATTTACAGTGAGGGAAAAAAGACACCTGTCCACAGAAGCAAACAATCAATCAGATTACAAACTCTCCACCATGGCCAAGACCAAAGAGTTCTCCAAGGATGTCAGGGACAAGATTGTAGACCTACACAAGGCTGGAATGGGCTACAAGACCATCGCCAAGCAGCTTGGTGAGAAGATGACAACAGTTGGTGCGATTATTCGCAAATGGTAAAAACACAAAAGAACTGTCAATGTCCCTCGGCCTGGGGCTCCATACAAGATCTCACCTCGTGGAGTTACAATGATCATGAGAACAGTGAGGAATCAGCCCAGAACTACGCGGGAGGATCTTGTCAATGATCTCAAGGCAGCTGGGACCATAGTCACCAAGAAAACAATTGGTAACACACTACGCCGCGAAGGACTGAAATCCTGCAGCGCCTGCAAGGTCCCCCTGCTCAAGAAAGCACATATACAGGCCCGTCTGAAGTTTGCCAATGAACATCTGAATGATTCAGAGGAGAACTGGGTGAAAGTGTTGTGGTCAGATGAGACCAAAATGGAGCTCTTTGGCATCAACTCAACTCGCCCCAAGAACACCATCCCCACCGTCAAACATGGAGGTGGAAACATTATGCTTTGGGGGTGTTTTTCTGCTAAGGGGACAGGACAACTTCACCGCATCAAAGGGACGATGGACGGGGCCATGTACTATCAAATCATGGGTGAGAACCTCCTTCCCTCAGCCAGGGCATTGAAAATGGGTCGTGGATGGGTATTCCAGCATGACAATGACCCAAAACACACGGCCAAGGCAACAAAGGAGTGGCTCAAGAAGAAGCACATTAAGGTCCTGGAGTTGCCTAGCCAGACTCCAGACCTTAATCCCATAGAAAATCTGTGGCGGGAGCTGAAGGTTCGAGTTGCCAAACCTCAGCCTCAAAACCTTATGACTGAAGATCTGCAAAGAGGAGTGGGACAAAATCCCTCGTGAGATGTGTGCAAACCTGGTGGCCAACTACAAGAAACGTCTGACCTCTGTGATTGCTAACAAGGGTTTTGCCACCAAGTACTAAGTCATGTTTTGCAGAGGGGTCAAATACTTATTTCCCTCATTAAAATGCAAATCAATTCATAACATTTTTGACATGCGTTTTTCTGGATTTTTTTGTTGTTATTCTGTCTCTCACTGTTCAAATAAACCAACCATTAAAATTATAGACTGATCATGTCTTTGTCAGTGGGCAAACATACAAAATCAGCAGGGGATCAAATACTTTTTTCCCTCACTGTAAGTGATCCTAGGGCTTCTCCCCCCCCCCCCCAAAAAAAAAAAAGTTTGAAGTGTACAGGACTTTAATAACTGGAGAACAAAGTCACAATGTAACATAAAGTTGCTTTATTGTAGTGGAAGGAAATATGTTGTAGAGTCAAGACACAAAAAGAAACACAGAAGAAGAATAACATTTACACAAATTTACACATTTATGTACAGGACATATCATTATATTAACAAAAGTTAAACTGTAGAAGAAATATCCAAAATAGCATATCGTTCTATACCCTCTATACCTGCAGATTCAGATTGTGATTATTTACATAGCTTTGCTGTTCCTAGAGTAGAGGAGTATCTACCTTCATAAATAGCTTTTCAGGTGGATATCTTTAATTCTGTATTCTAAACAGTGCTACTCAGCAAGTTCAACTTAGCAGTTGTACATTATAATTTGTGTACATTCAAAGTGAAAAAAGTGAGATATAATGTCAGAAAAAGGCCATTAAACGTAGGACTCCTTGGCGTAAGAATTCTCCTCGAACACGGGCTGGCTGCACCTCCGTGACACAGTCTCATGGTGTGACATGGTCTCATGGCATGCTCTCGGCACAGACTCAGACATCGCTCGCTGGCGGAACACGCCGGAATGTTGTTGGGCTGCGGTGACATCATCACTGTCTGTCCCCTGAGAGAAGCAGTCTGTGTTTTGATTGACGGTACAGGAGTACAGGACGTTTTCGTTCATAGAGGCTGGGCGGGGCTTCCTGCTGAGAGTGGCGGCTGCGGCTCTGACAGTCATGGAGCCGTAATGTGACAGGGCGGGCTGAGTCACACTCTGGACTGCCTGCTCATACGAGGGGAGCTGGGAGGGCAGTCTGCTGTCCACCCACTGGAAGACCACGGCAGACAGGGGGCGCTTCTGCCTGAGATGGTCCTCGGCCACCGGGGCCTCTGCCTCACTCAGGGAGTCCTCCTGGAGGGTTCCACAGGGGAAAGGCTTCTCCTTCTGGAGATCGCCTTTCTTCAGGCTGGTCCGGGAGAAGCCAAAGGCTCCCAGGCTCTTGGTCCTCATCGAGGCTTTGCTGTCCACCTTCATGGACTGGGTGCGTCGCTTGGCCACTTCCACCGTGTCCGCCCTCGGACGTGTGGACTGGGCCCTGCGTGGGCAGACCGGGGAGGCCAGCGGCGAGCTGGTAAACACAGAGCCATCCGATGCGTTGGAGTTGGCGCTCTCCAGGGAGCAGGATGATGAGCATGACAGGTCAAGCTGCCGCCAAGTCATCGTCTGGCTACCGCCGAGTTTGGGAAGGGACAGCGTGGCGGCGGGCCTGGTGGAGGCACCATGCCCCGGGAGCAGGAAGGAGTCATTAGAGATCTGCTTTTTGAGTGGCTGTTCCTCAAAGTCCCGGCCCTCCACGGAGAAGTCATCATGGCTACAGGCCAGGTTCCTTGTCTCGGCAGAGGGGAAGATGATTGGCTCTGAGCAGCGGCGGTTAAACGGCTTCGTGTTGGTGAAGGTGTGGAAGATGGCATTGGAGGGGCAGGAGGGGACAGCGCCGCGTTCCATCCCGCACTCGGAGAGGAGAGATGGGGACGAGCTGCCCCTTTCCCCCTCTCCCTGCGTGGACCCGCTGCTGTCCCCCTCAGAGTCCGGGTCGGTGCTGTCATACGCAGAGTCGTGCCGCTGTGACGACACAGATTCTGAGGAGAAAGAGGCAGAACATTGATCAGTTGCAGTGTATGATTCCTATTCCCATTGTTCTACTTGATTTCAAGCCCTTTGAAATGGGTTCCCAGAAATCTGTGCTCACAGAATGTTCTCATGTTCTGTGAAACAATGTGTAGCACTGCAAAGAGTGGAGCCCAAAGCAGCCCAGTTCGCTTACCTGAGCTATCCTCATCGGGACCTCCCAAAAGGCTCAGGACATCTTCTCCAAAGATCTCACAGCAATACTCTATCAGGAACCTTGTCAGTTCTGCCGCCTGAAGGAAACATCACAAAGAACATGAAAGGTCAACATTACTTAGAAAGAGGGTTGAGTGATTGAAAGTAATATTGTTTGAAAGTGTGAAGATTTCGCATTTCCTTTCGCTGAACAACTCAGTGCTGTTTCAGTACAGGCTACAGACACACAAAACACACATACACACGCTGTGGTTTTCAGTGTATGAAAACCACATTGGCAGCTTCAAGGAGTCCAGTCTGAACCGTATTCTCACCTTTTCCACGGTCTGCAAGTCTAAGGACATGATGTCCTTCTGCAGCAGAGTGGGTGCGATGCACACCGCCAAATTCTTGGCGTCCATCTTGTTGGCGCGCCCGCTCTCTGTGATGTGGTGGAGCACACACAGAATGTTCCGCAGCAGGAGGATGTTAGGCCCTGGTAGCTTGTCTACCACCCTGAGAGGAGGAGGGAAGAGAGAAGGGAGGAGAGAAAGAACAGGAAGAAAATGTAGATCAGTTTGGCGCTCTTTTTTTTTTTAAGTGTTATTTTTAGCTTCTCTTTTTTGAGTGGGGGAATTCAACGAAAAAGAGAAGTGCCTTGTCTGAATCATACACATTGAGGGGAGAGGCACTACTTCCTCTTTGTCTGAATCTCTGAAAAACTCCATTCAAAAGCCCCCTGAATATATGCTTTGCTACACCTACAACAGCAATGGAAAAGTTCAGGGTTTTTTGTATTCAACCAAACGCCTTTATTAGTTTCACATTAGCATTTCATTTGTGTACGGCCTCTCGAGTAGCTTACAGATTTATAGGTCACCAATGGGGGTGACTGGACAGGTGGTATAGTAGCTAGTAGCTATAGTAGCTAGCGCTAATGCCACATTTAGAATAGCATTAGCAGTTGGTCCTAGTAGAGGCTAGCTAATGCTACTTTTAGGCTAGCATCAGCTCGTTAGTGTTTGGTAGCTTACCTCTTGAGCTCCAAGCTTCTTTGGTGGACGTCCTCACTCTCCAGGGCCTTCATCCAGGTCTCATACAGCTCCGACACTAGCAGGCGTCCCGGGAGCTCGTTCAGAAAACTCTGTAATTAGGAGGGAAGGTGTCGGAGGTTAGAACACAATAGAAGACTGCTGATAAGTAGCGAGGGCGTCCAACGGAACGATGGACGGACAGATGGGACAGACTCTTTACCTTGAGTAGACCCACCAGGAGAACCACGGGCAGGGCCTCCATCTCCACCTCCATCCCACTGTTGAGCTGCTCCCTGATGGCCTTCAGGGTCTTATTGTTGCAGGCCTTCCTGAACACCCCCTCTGTGGAGGGGCCTTTCTTCCACAGAAGCACCAATATCTCCTGGTGGGGAGAGAGAAGAACAAGGAGAGGTCAGACCAGGCTGAGAAAAGGCATGAACAAATCAAACACCCTGCTGTGTGTGTGTGGTGTGGTGTGGTGTGTGTGACTGTGTGTGGGACTGTGTGTGTGTGTGACTGTGTGTGTGTGTGACTGTGTGTGTGTGCACATCATGTGTTCTGTGAGGGGGAGGGCGGGGTCAGAGTGAGACAGGCGGTTGGTGCGTTATGCGTGTTTATCAGCTGGAACATCAAATGTAGACCAAATCTATGGTTGGGTTGCAGACAGGCAGGTTCTTAGCAACCATTATCAAGTGCTTTGTTAACTAACTGCACTTATTAGTGATAATTCAATGACCTGATTAATCAACTGCCCTAATCAATAAATCCTTTCTTGAACTGAACTGCCGTAATGAGTCCTAGTGACAACTTTTGAATTGACATGTACCTCATTCTACCAAGGTGTTTAGTTAAAAGGGTTTATTTATTTTATTTTATTTTATTCGGATCCCCATTAGCGGACGCTACCTAGCAGACACTTGGTAGAATGTGGTGCGGGTCAAATCAATAGCTGTCACTAAGACTCATTATGGCAGTTCAGTTCATGAAAGAAAAGTGTTATGTTATGTCGCACAATCAATAAAATCTTTCTCACTCAATGCCCACAGCCACACACCTTGTCCAAATAATGACAATCTGACATACCAAGATAGTACAGAACCAAGATAGTACAGAACCAAGATAGTACAGAACCAAGAAAGCTGTGGTAGACTGACGTACTGTGATAGGCTTGGGAAGCATCCCATCCTCTGGGCAGGTCTTGGAGAGAGGCTGTCCAAACAGTTGGCTCTTGGAGTCTGTGTCTGGACAGAAGGACATGCTGGTGAGGGTGGAACTCCTCTTCAACTTCCTCAAGATGCTGATGCTTCTCTTACTGATGCCGCCATTTTCTGTTACGAAAGAAGCCAAATGATTAGACAACTTGTGTAGGTATACATGTAGTATGCAGTATTGCGTAATAAAAGGGAGATATTATAAGGGGCACAGTATACAGTAATGCTAACTGATACCATGACGTTGTTTTTCAGCGATGTTCAAACTCACCAATGGGCTGCGTTGCTTTTGCCTTACACAACTCCCTGGGCAGGGTGGGGATCTTTGTGCCGCCCTGAAAATACAAAACAGGAGATGTTGTCATGAGCATGTGTGAGGAACGTGTGGCAGGGGAGGGAGGGGAGGGGAGGAGCCTCTGCTCTAAGCCCCCTAAACCACACACCCTGTGTCTGCACGCCTGTTTCCATGTGCAGGGTGGTCCGCACTCCCTCCTTAAACTCCTCCATCACACAAGCAATTTACCCCACAAAAATACCCCTCAAAAACACCCACCACTTTCACACCAATATGCCCTCAAGATCAACACAAGGTCCTCCATTTGAAGAAACACAAACCCTCCTTCAAAAAGCATCATCACTGTACAGTATCAATCAAGTGTTACAATGTATACACTTCTGTTATATATATATATATATATATATGTTATACTATTATTTGAGCAACAGATTGCAGTAGTTCGAATTCCCCCATCAAACCTAAAAATAAGCCTCATATTTTCCCCCTGAGGTCCAGGGAAACCAAAGGTGTTTCCCAACACGTGTTGATTCCAGAACAATTGACACATGGATGAGAGAAGCAGAAGCGTGGTCTGTACTGTACGGTACTCACATCAAGGAGAAACTCGATAAACGGCTCCTTGCCACTTCCTGTCATAGTTTTAGCCTGAAACACAGAGAGAGAGAGAGAGAGAGAGAGAGAATTATCTATGATGCAGATGAAAGTTGTTGAAGATAAAGTCGACTGCTTCCAGAAGCAATTATACTATTTCGGTAAAGGTCAATGTATGCTCGTTCTAATTCTATAAGTACAATTTTAATGGTGTCAAACAAAGGTCTATAATGCCTGAATGACCATAGAACATCTTTTGACGTGCTGCAATGTGTCTGCATTGAGTGCCTTTCTAAGAATGTCCGATATACCGTCCTTACTGTTAATGGCTTTTTTTAGAGGTTATATGCCTCTTCAGAGCCATCAAAGCCCATCAACATGAGAGCAATAGATTGAATAAGAGTGAATATTATGAATTGGCAAGACAATGATATCTTGATATCAATAGCCGAGCAATACAATGGTATCTCGATATCAATGACCGACTGGACACAGGTGAAAGCAGATCCATCTTTTCTACAGTATCTGCCATCACCACCTTTGGTAACAAGAATCTGAGTGAGGTATCAGGGAATATGTCTACATTCGACACAGTATGTGCTATGGTAATAAATCACACAGCTCTTCTCTGTTTCAGGTGTTCTAATAGCAGTTGCTGTATATCTAGCACACTGGAGAGTAAGCTAAAGTTGCATCCCAAATGGCACTCTGTTCCCTACAGTTCACTACTTTTGCAGTGTACTGTATACAGGATAGGGTGCCATTTGGGACAGGCCCTAAGTGAGAAACTTACTGTGATACTGTTGTTGCTCAGCACCTTCATCAGAACACTTGGGAGAGGTGTGATAGAACCTGCCCTCTCTGTTGCTACTTTTACTTTCCTGGAATGATTCAAAAAACATACAAATATTAACATTTGATTGATCTCAAGTAAATTCCTAACTATTCTGGTGAGCCATACTAGAGAGAGACTAGTCCCTGTTTAGAGGGCTGTGGAGAGAGACTAGTCTATATTGTGTTTGCGTGTGTGTGTGTGTGTGTGTGTGTGTGTGTGTGTGTGTGTGTGTGTGTGTGTGTGTGTGGTGAGGGGTGCATCATGTTTTAAAAGAGGATCAAATGGATATTTTCAATATGATAGAATCTTAATTTGATTATGAATGAAAATGATGATTACCACTAATATTTCTATTTTAACTATATACTATAAGTTGTGACATCATGAAGAATATGGTAATATGAACTAAAATACAGTTCCTATGTCTTTATACTACCCTTCAGTACTAATTAATATAATATATGCCATTTAGCAGACGCTTTTATCCAAAGAAACTAACAGTCAAGCGTGCACACATTTATATATTATACTGTATGTAATTGAATGACATTGACAGTACAGTCCCATTGATACTGCAAGTTATTACAAATACATTGATAGATCACAATTACATTGATAGATCCCACAATCTTTTCGCAATATTTAAGCTGATCTACCCCCTATAAAAAATAAATAAAACTGTTATTAAAGATTATGACTATCTCAATGATATAGTATAACCCAGTAACCAGGGTAACCATTTACGGCACAATCAAGAGGCATTTACAGTATGTATAGAGTTAATAGTGCTGAATTTTAGTTAGCTATTTTTATTTTTTTTATGTGTCTATGAATTGTATGTGCAGGGCTCCCTTGCGAAAGAGACCCTGGTCTCAATGGTGACTCCCTGTTTAAATCAAGGTCCAATAAAAACTAAACAAATACATTTTAGTAGACAAATAGTAGTGCTTACCTGTGAAGAGTATCCAACCAGCGTTCTTTCACCTCAGGCAAGCTGCAGGCAAAATAACAGCGTGGCGTGAGTTACTAATCCACAGTGAAAGAGGAACGAACCAAACACACGGACGGACAGACTAACAGACTGAAGAGACACAGCACGCCCTTGGGCTCTTTTAACTACAGCACTGGAAACTCTAACTCAGTCATGGGGACAGGAAGCAACGTCATGGCGGCCCCCGACCAAAGACACCACTTCCTCCTGTGCTGGGGCTGCTGCTGTCATCGCCGTGTGGAAAGAGACACACGGGAGACTCTAACCCTCACTCACCTGTATAGATGATAGTCATTTATTTGTAAAAGGGGATCACTTGACTCTGGGGAAGCGTGGATGTGAGTGAGGCCTTTAGAAGTGCATCTGTTTTATTGTCTTTTGTTTTCCTTGACCTTGGGTTGTGGCTTCGTTAGGGCCTTCGTTAGGTTCTTCGTTAGGGCCTTCTTTAGGGACTTCGTTAGGGCCTTCGTTTGGGCCTTATTTAGGGCCTTATTTAGGGCCTTCTTTAGGGCCTTCTTTAGGGCCTTCTTTAGGGCCTTCGTTAGGGCCTTCGTTAGGGCCTTCGTTAGGGCCTTCGTTAGGGCCTTATTTAGGGCCTTATTTAGGGCCTTATTTAGCCCTTTCTTTAGGGCCTTCGTTAGGGCCTTCGTTAGGGCCTTCGTTAGGGCTTTCTTTTGGGCTTTCTTTTGGGCCTTCGTTAGGGCCTTCTTTAGGGCCTTCTTTAGGGCGTTCGTTAGGGCGTTCGTTGGGGTCTTCTTTAGGGCGTTCGTTAGGGCCTTCGTTAGGGCGTTCGTTAGGGCCTTCGTTAGAGCCCATACTTTTGGATGACTATAAAATAGGCTTTTACATACACTTTCCCAACAGACCAGCTCATGTACAGTTGGTGCTTACTGGTAAACAGTAGGCTGATAAACTGGCGAACCCCAGACTCTAAGAATGACTCGAGTCAACAACGGTCACACTTATTTGACTAGTTTGTTTGACACGAAACTGTGGGAGTCCATGACTCAGACCCCAATAAGATGACTAAATTACCCATATCTACACCAACAAGGGATAGCTATCATTCCTGATAAAAACAGGCACTGATTGTTATTAAATAACTATTCAATCCCCTTATGTTATGTCTGTTTGTCTCCATTTGTGACATTACAATTCCCACCCTCTCTCTTTATTTGAAAGTCCATTGCTGTAAAGCCCCTGACATGTGACCTGAGGTCTGATGGTCAGCTTCACACTTCCTGTTTCACCAGCCATTATCTTGTGATGGTGCAGATTTTTCTAACTTCCCTATTCATTCAAGACCTTATGGAAAGCATTTCTGAAGAAACTCAATATATATGTTAGGTCAATCCAAGGATACTGCTGTACTGCTGTTTGTGCACAGTGTATCTCCCAGGAAAACCAAATGGGTCAAAAGGAACTGTTCATATGAATCTTGAATTTGAATTTATGGATGTTAGAGTTAGGTTGACTCCATTATCCTCAAATTGTAATAGTTGTACTTTGAAATGCCAGTAAGCTGAACTTACTGCTCAGTAGTGGCTCATTGTGTAGTTTTCTAACCTTTACCCTTTGGGTGTTCAGAGAATTAGTCATTGTCCTGTAATGTCAGTAGTGAGAAAAAAGATAGAGAAACTTCACTTGTTATTTGTTATGTCTACGTTGAGAACGATGTGTGAGAAATGTTTCTCATTGAGTTAAAAGACACGTGTTTTGATCTGTGTGTGTGCCTGCCTGGGCATCTGTCTCTCTGTGTGTGCCTGTGTGTCATCTGTGAGTGTGTGTATGTGTGTGTGTGTGTGGGCACCTGTCTGCCTTACGCATCTACATTTTAGTCATTTAGCTCTAATCCAGAGCGACTTACAGTTAGTGCATACTTTTTTTTTTATATACTGGCCCCCGTGGGAATCGAACCCACAACCCTGGCGTTGCAAGCGCCATGCTCTACCAACTGAGCTACACGGGGCCCTATGTGTCTTTGCACAAGTATGAGTGTGCACACGGAGGATGGCTGTTGCTCACCGGAAGGACACCACACAGAAGGCAAGGGGCCAGGCCAAGACAAGGGAGGTCCTGAGGTCGATCACTCCCCGTCCTCCCTCTTCCTCCTCGGGCTCATCCTCAAAACCATAAAGCCACAGATCCTCCAGACTCACCCTGTGCTTCAGACGGTAGCTAGCACTGGATCTAAATGAGAGAGAGATAGGGAGAGACAGAGACAGAGAGAGAGGGAGAGACAGAGAGAGAGGGAGAGAGAGAGAGAGAGAGAGAGAGAGAGAGGAGAGAGAGAGAGAGAGAGAGAGAGAGAGAGAGAGAGAGAGAGAGAGAGAGAGAGAGAAGGGGATAATTAGGTGGCCATGATGGTATATGAGGGCTAGTAGGTTGAGAGTTCAAGGACCTCAGTTTATGTTGTCATCAGGCCTGACTGGGACTGTATCTCTGCTCATCAGGCCTGACTGGGACTGTATCTCTGCTCATCAGGCCTGGCTGGGACTGTATCTCTGCTCATCAGGCCTGGCTAGGACTGCATCTCTGTTCATCAGGCCTGACTGGGACTGTATCTCTGCTCATCAGGCCTGACTGGGACTGTATCTCTGCTCATCAGGCCTGACTGGGACTGTATCTCTGCTCATCAGGCCTGACTGGGACTGTATCTCTGCTCATCAGGCCTGGCTAGGACTGCATCTCTGTTCATCAGGACTAGATAACTTTATGATCCACTTCTCTTTCCCAATGGTTTCTATAGGTACTAATGTATTCCTCATTGTTGTCATCTATTTCTGAATCAGTGATTGGTTGTCAATCACTCAGAAACAGGAAGTGATCTTATTTCTATCTCTTTATGAATGCATTGTGTTCCATGACAAGCTTCCTGTCTGTCTTTGTCTGCCTGTCTGTCTGTATGCGTCTGCCTGCGTCTGCCTGCGTATGCCTGTCTGTGTCTGCCTGTCTGTCTGCCTGTCAGTGTCTGCCTGTCTGTGTCTGCCTGTCTGTGTCTGCCTGTCTGTGTCTGTGTCTGCCTGTCTGTGTCTGCCTGTCTGTGTCTGCCTGTCTGTGTCTGTGTCTGCCTGTCTGTGTCTGCCTGTCTGTGTCTGTGTCTGCCTGTCTGTGTCTGCCTGTCTGTGTCTGCCTGTCTGTGTCTGTGTCTGCCTGTCTGTGTCTGCCTGTCTGTGTCTGCCTGTCTGTGTCTGCCTGTCTGTGTCTGCCTACCTGTCTGTGTGTGACTGTCTTTCTGTATGTCTGTCTGCTCGTGAGGAGGAAGGCAAGCTCTCATGACCTAGGTCACCATTTTTGATTTGCTACGACATTGAAGTTGTCACCTTGTCACGTGTGGGTCCACAGACCCTGTAAGCCTGGTCGTGGGAACATTTTGTGATTTCGTGAAGAGCCTAGAATCAAGAAGTGATCCGGTAATCAGGGTCAATTCAGGCAACGTAAATAGAATGGAAAGTGGCTGCATCCAAAATGGCATCCTATTTCCTCCCTATGAGCTTGGCTCTGGTCTAAATTAGTGCACTATGTAGAGAATAGGGTGCCATTTGGGACGCAAAATCAATGGAAGGTGGGAAGGGGGAGAGAGAGATGGGAGGAAGGGAGGAAGGGAATTGAGGTTGCGTAAGTGTACCGGTTAGTGAGGACATCTACACACAATACCCCATAATCACAAAGTGAAAACATGTTTTTATACATTTTTGAAAATGTATTGAAAATGAAATACAGAAATATCTCATTTACATAAGTATTCACACCCCTGAGTCAATGCATGTTAGAATCACCTTTTGCAGCAATTACAGCTGTGAGTCTTTGCATACCTGGATATTATATATACAATTCTTCAAGCTCTGTCAAGTTGGTTGTTGATCATTGCTAGACAGCCATTTTCAGGTCTTTCCATAGATTTTCAAGCCAAGTTAAGTTAAAACTGTAAGTAGGCCACGCAGGAACATTAGATGTCGTCTTGGTTACGCCTACAGGGAAGAGGTCAGAGACCTGGCAGTGTGGTGCCAGAACAGCAACCTCTCCCTCAACTTCAGTAAGACCAAGGAGCTGATCGTGGACTAGATGAAACGGGGGGGGGGGTGAAAACGCCTCCATCCACATCGACGGGGCCGCAGTGGAGCAGGTCGACAGCTTCAAGTTCCTCGGTGTCCAAATCACTAAAGACTTAAAATGGTCCAAACACACGAAGGTTGAGAAGGTGCGGCAGCGCCTCTTCTCCTTCAGGAGGTTGAAAATGTTTGGCATGGGCCCTCAAATCCTCAAAAAGATCTACAGCTGTAACATTGAGAGCATTTTGACTGGCTGCATCACTGCCTGGTATGGGTTTACAGTAAGGGAGTCTATAACCCTACAGAGGGTGGTGCGGACAGCCCATTACATCACTAGGGCCGAGCTCCCTGCCATCCAGGACATCTATATCAGGCAGTGTGGTAGGAAGGCCCGGAAAATTGTTTAAGACTCCAACCACCCAAGACACAGACTGTTCTCTCTGGTGCATCAAGTCTGACACCAACAGGCTCTTGAACAGCTTCTATCCCCAAGCAATAAGACTGATAAATGGCTAGACGGACTATCTGAGTTAACCTTGTATCCTTATTGACCTTTTATTTATGCACACTCACAGGGCCCTATACACACACACACACACACACTCACAGGGCCCTACACACTCACACACACACTCACTCCATCATCTGCGCACTCACAAATAACATGCTGGTTGAGAGAATGCCAAGAGTGTGCAAAGCTTTCATCAAGGCAAAGGGTGGCTACTTTGAAGAATCGCAAATATAAAATATATTTTGAATTGTTTAACACTTTTTTGGTTACTACATGATTCCATATGTGTTATTTCATAGTTTTGATGTCTTCACTATTATTCTACAATTTAGAAAATAGTCAAAATAAAGAAAAATCCTTGAATGAGTAGGTGTGTCCAAACTTTTGACTGGTACTGTACATTTATACTGACTCTACACACACACTCCCACTTACATACAAGCTGCTGCTACTCTGTTTATCTTATATCCTGATTCCAAGTCACCTTACCCCTATACATATCTACCTCCATCACATTTTACATTTACATTTACATCATTTAGCAGACGCTCTTATCCAGAACGACTTACAAATTGGTGCATTCAACTTATGATAGCAATAACTTATGATAACTTACGATAGCACCCCAGTATCCCTGCACATTGTAAATATGGTATTGGAAAGGCCCTGTATATAGTATGCTTACTTATTGTGTTATTCATATTTCTTCTTATTTCTCATGTTTTTTAAATTCTAGTATTACATTCTTATTGATTATTGCATTGTTGGTTTTTGAGTTTGCAAGAAAGGCATTTCACTGTACTTGTGCATGTGACATTAAAACTTGAAACTTGAAAAAGCAACTCCAGTGTATATTTGGCTTTGTGTTTTAGGTTACTGTCCTGCTGAAAGGTGAATTTGTCTCGCAGTGTCTGTTGGAAAGCAGACTGAGCCAGGTTTTCCTCTAGGATTTTGCCTGTGCTTAGCTCTATTCCATTTATTTGTATCCTAAAAAATACCTCTTAGTTCTTGCCGATGACAAGCATCCAATAGAATGATGCAGCCACCACCATGCTTGAAAATTTGAAGAGTGGTACTTAGTGATGTGTTGTGTTGGATTTGCCCCAAACATAACTCTTTGTATTCAGGACATAAAGTTCATTTCTTAGACAATTCTTTTGCAGTTTTACTTTAGTGCCTTATTGCAAACAGGATGCATGTTTTGGAATATTTTTATCCTGTACTGGCTTCTTTTTTAAAACCCTCCTGCTACGCTGTTACACTAACTTCACCTTTCATACTCCCTTACTGTAAACCCTCCTGCTATACTGTTACACTAACTTTACCTTATAGACTCCATTACTGTAAACCCTCCTGTTACGCTGTTACACTAACTTTACCTTTCATACTCCCTTACTGTAAACCCTCCTGCTACGCTGTTACACTAACTTCCCCTTTCAGACTCCCTTACTGCAAACCCTCCTGCTATACTGTTACACTAACTTTACCTTATAGACTCCATTACTGTAAACCCTCCTGTTACGCTGTTACACTAACTTTACCTTTCATACTCCCTTACTGTAAACCCTCCTGCTACGCTGTTACACTAACTTCACCTTTCATACTCCCTTACTGTAAACCCTCCTGCTACACTGTTACACTAACTTCACATTTCAGACTCCCTTACTGTAAATCCTCCTGCTACGCTGTTACACTAACTTCACCTTTCAGACTCCATTACTGTAAACCCTCCTGCTACACTGTTACACTAACTGCCCCTTTCAGACTCCATTACTGTAAACCCTCCTGCTACACTGTTACACTAACTGCCCCTTTCAGACTCCATTACTGTAAACCCTCCTGCTACACTGTTACACTAACTTCACCTTTCAGACTCCATTACTGTAAACCCTCCTGCTACACTGTTACACTAACTTCACCTTACAGACTCCATTACTGTAAACCCTCCTGCTACATTGTTACACTAACTTCACCTTACAGACTCCATTACTGTAAACCCTCCTGCTATATTGTTACACTAACTGCCCCTTTCAGACTCCATTACTGTAAACCCTCCTGCTACATTGTTACACTAACTTCACCTTACAGACTCCGATACTATCAACCCTCCATAAAGTTGATTTCTTTGCCACATTTTTTGCAGTTTTACTTTAGTGCCTTATTGCAAACAGGATGCATGTTTTTGAATATTTTTATTCTGTACTGGCTTCTTCTTTTCACTTTGTCATTTAGGTTAGTATTGTCGAGTAACTACAATGTTGTTGATCCATCCTCAGTTTTCTCCTATCACAGCCATTAAACTCTAACTGTTTTAAAGTCACCATTGACCTCAGTGAAATCCCTGAGCGGTTTCCTTCCTCTCCAGCAACTGAGTTAGAAAGGATGGCTATATCTTTGTAGTGACTGGGTGTATTGATACACCATCCAAAGCGTAATGAATAACTTCACCATGCTCAAAAGGAAATTCAATGTCTTATTATAATTTTTAAAAAATGTAATCTACCAATAGGTGCCCTTCATTGCGAGGCATTGGAAAACCTCCCTGGTCTTTGTGATTGAATCTGTGTTTGAAATTCACTGCTCGACTGAGGGCCCTTACAGATAATTGTATGCGTGGGGTAAAGAGATGAGGTAGTCATTCAAAAATCATGTTAAACACTATTATCGCACACAGAGTGAGTCCGTGCAACTTATTATGTGACTTGTTAAGCAAATGTATACTCCTGAACTTATTTAGGCTTGCCATAACAAAGGGGTTGAATACTTACTGACTGAAGACATTTCAGCTTTTTATTTATATTTAACTAGTAACAATTTCTAAAAACACAATTCCACTTTGACATTATGGGGTATTGTGTGTAGATCAGTGACACAAAGTCTCAATTTAATCAATTTTAAATTCAGGCTGTAAGAAAATGTCAAGTGGTGTGAATACTTTCTGAAGGCACTGTATTCAGAAGAAGAGATCTGCATTAGTCACAAATGTATTTAGCTCCTCGTGGTGCCTCTGCTGAAAAAGAGGGTAGCAAAGTACAGTAGAGTGAAATGAAAACCTGCCTTCACTCAATGGACCAGAGCGTTTGACTGAACACCCACTTGAGACCTGAAGAATGCGTCCATTGTCTTCGTTGAAACAGAGATCATTCTGAATATTTTATCTTGGTTAGCATCAAGTTTTACATTAACTGAATTTAAATTTGGATTACACTAATCTACTTTCATACTGTATTGTTTAATCTACGAGCTTACTACTGTCAATATCTTATAATAAGAAAACAAAAAACTCTGACCTAAATGTGCACTGTCTATTTTTTTTTACAAATGTAGTGGGCTAAAACCTCAGAGCTAGAGTTTACAAACATTATCTTAGATATTTATATCACATTGAAAAAGGAGAAGAAAGATGATAAAGAGAAAATGAAAGTTCATCCAGTCACCCATTTCCTGTTTGGGCTAACATCACTCTTAGAGGAAATCACCCTGCTTTCTGCTTTGGATTTAGATGACCAACGATGACTTTACTGTTTACTATAATAGAGAAGCTGTTAGGAAAGAGAATTCCCCGGACTCCCCGACCATATACCCTCCTGCTATACTGTTACACTAACTTCATCTTTCAGACTCCATTACTGTAAACCCTCCTGCTACGCTCTTTCACTAACTTCACCTTTCAGACTCCATTACTGTAAACCCTCCTGCTACACTGTTACACTGACTTCGCTAATACAGGCCTACAGATCTACAGGTCTACAGATCTACAGGTCTACAGATCTACAGGTCTACAGGTCTACAGGTCTATAGGTTTATAGGTCTACAGGTCTTACAGGTCTATAGGTTTATAGGTTTACAGGTCTACAGGTCTACAGATTATAGGCTATAAGGTTTATAGGTCTACAGGTCTATAGGTTATAGGTCTACAGGTCTACAGGTCTATAGGTTTATAGGTCTACAGGTCTATAGGTCTACAGGTCTACAGGTCTACAGGTCTACAGGTCTACAGGTTAAGTCTACAGGTCTACAGGTCTACAGATCTACAGGTCTCTAGGTCTATAGGTTTATAGGTCTACAGGTCTTATAGGTTTATAGGTTTATAGGTTTATAGGTCTACAGGTTTATAGGTCTATAGGTTTATAGGTTTATAGGTCTACAGATCTACAGGTCTACAGGTCTACAGATCTACAGGTCTACAGGTCTACAGGTCTACAGTCTATAGGTTTATAGGTCTACAGGTCTACAGGTCTATAGGTTTATAGGTCTACAGGTCTACAGGTCTATAGGTTTATAGGTCTACAGGTCTACAGGTTCGTTATAGGTCTACAGGTCTATAGGTCTATAGGTTTATAGGTCTACAGGTATATAGGTCTACAGGCCAACAGGTCTACAGGTCTACAGGTCTACAGGTTTATAGGTCTACAGGTCTACAGATCTACAGGTCTATAGGTTATAGGTCTACAGGTCTACAGGTCTACAGGTCTATAGGTTATAGGTCTACAGGTCTATAGGTCTACAGGTCTACAGGTCTACAGGTCTACAGGTCTACAGGTTTATAGGTCTACAGGTCTAAGGTCTAATAAGTCAGTGTTATAGGGCTACAGGTCTATAGGTATATAGGTCTACAGGCACAGGTCTACAGGTCATAGTCAGGTCTACAGTCAGTTATAGGTCTATAGGTCTACAGGCCAACAGGTCTACAGGTCTATAGGTCTACAGGCCAACAGGTCTACAGGTCTACAGGTTTATAGGTCTACAGGTCTACAGGTCTACAGGTCACAGGTTCTAGCGATGGTATCTTAACAGGTGTTGGGTTTATCAGGTTCGGTTGCTTAAGGCTACAGCATCTATGTAGGTGTGTGTCTGGGTCCTCTGTGCGTATGGTAAGTGGGGTCTCTGTGTAGTGTTCTGGTACATCGGTCGTGTGTCTGGTCCATGTGTAGGTTGGTCTGGTACATCTGTGTCTGTTCGGCCACTGTTAGGTTCGGTATCTGGTCTTTCGGTCCTTCTGGTTAGTGTTCGGTCTCTTGCGGTGTGTTTCCATCTGTAGTGTGTTGGGCATCGTTCGTTTCTGGCCTTTGGAGCTGAGTCACTCTTGTGGTGTGTCTGGGTCCATCTGTGTAGGTGTGTCTGGGTCCATCTGTGTCGGTGTGGCTGGGTCCTTCTGTGTAGGTGTGTCTGGGTCCATCTGTGTCGGTGTGTCTGGGTCCATCTGTGTCGGTGTGTCTGGGTCCATCTGTGTCGTGTTGGGTTTGTGTGTGGGTCCTCTGTGTCGTGTGTGGGGTCCATCTGTGTCGGTGTGTGTGGGGGTCCATCTGTGTCGGTGTGTCTGGGTCCATCTGTGTCGGTGTGTGTGGGGGTCCATCTGTGTCGGTGTGTGGGGGTCCTTCTGTGTCGGTGTGTGTGGGTCCATCTGTGTCGGTGTGTCTGGGTCCATCTGTGTCGGTGTGGTGGGTCCATCTGTGTCGGTGTGTCTGGGTCCATCTGTGTCGGTGTGTTGGGTCCTTCTGTGTCGTGTGTGGTCTTGTGTGTGGGGGTCCATCTGTGTCGGTGTGTGGGTCCTCTGTGTCTGTGTCGGTCATCGTGTCGTGTGTGGGGTCCATCTGTGTCGGTGTGTCTGGGTCCATCTGTGTCGGTGTGTGTGGGTCCATCTGTGTCGGTGTGTGCTGTGGGGTCCATCTGTGTCGTGTTGGGCCTCTGTGTCGGTGTGTGGGGTCCATCTGTGTCGGTTGTGTGGGTCCTCTGTGTCGGTGTGTGGGTCCTTCTGTGTCGGTGTGTTTTGGGTCCATCTGTGTCGGTTGTGTGGGTCTCTGTGTCGTGTGTGTGGGTCCTTCTGTGTCGGTGTCTGGTCCTCGTGTCGTGTCTGTGGCGGGTTTGTGTGTGGGGGGGGTCCATCTGTGTCGGTGTGTGTGGGTCCTTCTGTGTCGGTGTGTCTGGGTCCATCTGTGTCGGTGTGTGTGGGTCCTTCTGTGTCGGTGTGTGACCGGGGTCCTTCTGTGTCGGTGTGTCTGGGTCCTTCTGTGTCGGTGTGTCTGGGTCCTTCTGTGTCGGTGTGTCTGGGTCCTTCTGTGTCGGTGTGTCTGGGTCCTTCTGTGTCGGTGTGTGTGTGCTCATCATGTTCCATATCTTACTTCAGCTTAGAGATGACAATCACGTCGCTAAAGAGGAAGAGTTGTCTCTCTCTGGTCTTCATGCCCTCTGTGATCTGAACACAGGCATCCAAGACCAGCTCTGCATTCTCACTGCTGAGACCTAGGACAAAGGGGCACTGCTCCATCGACACAAAGCACAAGTCTCCTCCCTAGGGTAGAGAGGGCAGAGAGAGTGGGGGTCAGAGCCATGGCGGAACCATGCGTGCGTGATCAGCCTTCCATCCCACTTGTACCCATTCATCAAGACAAAGATCAGTCTTGGACACTTCAAATCCTTTTGTCATTCTTTCTTCATAATATTTTCAGGAAATGTCATAGTTTGTGGGTTATTACAGTAAAACCTTCATTTCAAAGTAGAAGGTCAGTCATTCCAACACTCAGGGCCTACGCTACCCTCGGATCAATGCTAGATAAGCTTTTCAAAAAAAAATCCACTTCAATCAGTGTAGATGAAGGGGAGGAGACAGGTTAAAGAAGGACTTTCAAGCCTAGAGACAATTGAGACATGGATTGTGTATGTGTGCCATTCAGAGGGTGAATGGGCAAGACTAAATATTTAAGTGCCTTTGAACGGGGTATGGTAGTAGGTGCCATGTGCACTGGTTTGAGTGTGTCAAGAACTGCAACGCAGCTGGGTTTTTCACGCTCAACAGTTTCCTGTGTGTATCAAGAATGGTCCACCACCCAAAGGACATCCAGCCAACTTGACACAACTATCCCTGTGGAACGCTTTCGACACCTTGTAGAGTCCATGCCCCGTAACTCAATATTACGAAGGTGTTCCTAATGTTTAATGCACTCAGTGTATACAGGAACATGTATCAAATAGTTCTTAGTGGGCAAAACTGGTAATTATGACATCACTTCAACCAGTTTTGCTCTGTTTTGCCCATTGAGCTGTTTTGGAGGCAGCAACAAATGAAATTATCATGTATGGTTATTTTTAAAGGGAGACAGTATGAGATGAGCCCGTGTGCAGAACGCAAAGCAAATACATATTGGCTTCCAGCCAGTTGCTATGACTCTCACAAGGACATAATGTATCTATAGAAAGGAGGTGAAGTGCATTTAAGGACTCTGTGAAATGGTGTGGTTTGTGACTGTTGAATGACAGTTTTCACAAGTTTATTCTCCTATTTCATATTACACATCAGATGAAGTTAGAACTCTCTCTCTCTCTCTCTCTCTCTCTCTCTCTCTCTCTCTCTCTCTCTCTCTCTCTCTCTCTCTCTCTCTCTCTCTCTCTCTCTCTCTCTCTCTCTCTCTCTCTCTCTCTCTCCTCTGACCTTTCTTCAGGACTTGTTCTTGCCTCCCACGGTTGTGAAAGAAGAAAGAGGATGTTATTTGCAATTTTCATGTTTGTAATGTTTCTCATCTTTTTTAGAGACCTAAAATATCTCCTGATTCATTACATAATGTTTCCCTGTATGAACAGAAACATTCACAGTTAATTGTGGCATTCCCATGCTTTGAGTGTCTATGAAGACAAACCTTTGCTGTTTAAGCCCTGACTTCCTTATAATGATTTTCTTATATTCTTATAAACATGAAATAAATAACATTATGGACATAGTTATGAGAATTCACAGTGGAACTTATCTGTCATTTGACTATTTCCCTCTTTCAACTGTTTTGGACTGATATTCAAATCCATATCACAGAGGGACTCTCCCATGTTAACCTCTCCTCTCTGACCTACTTGGCCTACACGACTAAACTACATAACATATTTCAACATTATCAGTAGAGTATAGGCTTAAAGTAAGTGTCCAGTGTTTCCAGTTTTCAATTAAATATAAATAATTACAATATGAGTGAAATAGTTTTCCTTCCCGATTTTGTTTTAAAGAAATATATTAAAAAGCAGCTTTTTTGTGTTGAAATTATGTGGGCATACCCCAATAACAGAATGGTGTGGGCGTATACTGGTCATTGAAAATATTAATGCGAGTAGACCTCTGATTGGCCAGCTCATTCTCCTCAAGAGGATGACATCATCCTCTGAGGAAATAGCAAGCATTTTTGAAACGGTCTGTTTGAGATACAAGTTTGAGGTGGGGTTTTTGAAGAGTTTTTTCTCCAATTTATGCTTTGGACACAAATACGAGTATAGGATGAGTCAACAACATTATTTGGGTATGAGTTAACAGAATATAAACTTTTAAAAGGGAGATTTTCACTGGACAGTTACTTTAAAGATCATATGACCATCTCTAAGATATTCTAATTCAAAGACACCCAGCCACTGTAGTGAAACTAGCACCCTTCACCCCCTCACTTTAGCTCAGTGTTCACTTCCTTGTTGTGTGTTGAACGTGTGGGAGTGAGACGGTATGACGTCTCTGATGGAAGTCACATTGTGTGGTTGGAGTGGACTCCCCCACGTCTCTGTCTGTGACTGGGTGGTCTGGGTATCAACTACTGCATGGGCTGATCAAAGACTGGAATAATGATTGGACAAGTTTGGACAGACCTACTCATTCAAGGGTTTTTCTTTATTTTTACTATTTTCTACATTGTAGAATAATAGTGAAGACATCAAAACTATAAAATAACACACATGGAATCATGTAGTAACCAAAAAAGTGTTAAACAAAACAAAATATATTTTATATTTCAGATTCTTCAAATAGCCACCCTTTGCCTTGATGACAGCTTTGCACACTCTTTGCATTCTCTCAACCAGCTTCATGAGGTAGTCACCTGGAATGCATTTCAATTAACAGGTGTGCCTTCTTAAAAGTTAATTTGTGGAATTTCTTTCCTTCTTAATGCATTTGAGCCAATCAGTTGTGTTGTGACAAGGTAGGGGGGTATACAGAAGATAGCCCTATTTGGTAAAAGACCAAGTCCATATTATGGCAAGAACAGCTCAAATAAGCAAAGAGAAACAACAGTCCATCATTACTTTAAGACATGAAGGTCAGTCAATCTGGAAAATTTCAAGAACTTTGAAAGTTTCTTCAAGTGCAGTCGGAAAAACCATCAAGCGCTGTGATGAAACTGGCTCTCATGAGGTAAAAAATAAAATAAAGAAAAACCCTTGAATGAGTAGGTGTGTCCAAACTTTTTACTGGTAGTGTAGATAGACAACTCTAGTGCCCAAAAGCCTGTTTTAGCACAGCAGCGCCATTGAGGACTTTCACCATTTTGAAGTAGTTAACTGTGTGGGACTTCGTATTGGTTAAGGAATGATCACATAATTCCATCCAGGTCATAAGGAGGGATCAGCCAATGAATAAAATAATTATTATATATTTTATAGGCTTTATACCTGTTCAAACAACACACTACAGGTGGCAGTGTGCACCCTTTCAGTTTGTTTACCAACTCATAGAAGTAGTAGAAGAAGAAAATGGACTACTTTAAAGTGGAAAATTGCCTTAATTAATGGCACTGCTGTACTCTCACAAACTCCATAATGGGCCAGATGTAAAGATGGGTCGACTATCTAAGTCTGTGGATCAGCCACATCATTCAACAATATAGAAAATGTCATAATTTAATCCACTGGATGAAACCATATAAATCTTCATAACACTATACATCAAAAGATTTATAAAAAGGTTAATACGTATTTTATAAACGGATCATTTTTTGTTTATAGATAGTTTACAAAATATGTAGTAAAGACTTTAAATACATTGGTTGAATTTGTTCCTGATACAGTACCACCTGAGGCGATTACAGTATCGTTCAATGTGAGACACAATAGATGAGTTCTCACCAACCAGGGGTCAATAGTACTGCAATAATGTGAGCCACATCAGATCAACCTTACAGGCTGCGTTTACACAGGCAGCCCAATAAGTCGAAAAAGAACAGAATTGGGCTGCCTGTGTAAATGGAGCCATATTGACTTTTACTAGTAATCTCTTGAACCACAGGCTGGAAAATCACATTATGTTCAAGGATTAGATATTGAGGGTGACCTGATGGACAGTCTGTTATTATTGGGGTTATCTATTCGATTCTCCCCCTCTGTCCTTCTGATATTTACTGTGGTTGATTAAAACAAATAAAAACAATCAAGTAAATATCACGTTTATCATCTTTGCCACAACCCCACATTTGTTTGTCTGTTTTCTGGTTTAAATTTCCATCCCCCCTCTACTGTCTATATGTCCTCAGTGTCACCCTGAGCTTGATGGGCTGATGAGGGAGTTTTGAGTGGGTTCAGACAATGGTTGCCAGAACTTGTGGAAAATCCCCCTACATGACACCTGTGTCCACAGTTACCATAGAGAGTGGGCATTGCAGCCCCCTTTACAGCTACTGAGGTGTCATTGTGAGTCATAGTGACACCATTCAACATGTGTTCAGAGCAGGTTGATCTCTGTTTATTTTTATGTCATGTACTGAATGTAGGCTGTGAAATGTGAACAGTTGTAAATGAGCAATTCTTGTGTAAATGACATGTCCCATTGAATTATGCTTTGTGCTTGTTTGCTTGTGAATAAATAATTTGACGGTATTGAATATTGAATAAGCAATGAGTTTTTTCACACGTCAACAGTGGCGACCCGTCATTCAGGGCAGGTGGGGCAGAGCGGAAAATACGGAGCGTAGGGGTTGGTAATGTTCTATAGTTGCTCCGTGATTGGCTCAGTGTTCTGTCACTCATTGCGACACTAGAGCTTGAAAATTCAAGCCCCTTGGGTGCTGCCATAGAGTTACATTAGAAGTGCCCATCCAAGAAGGCTCAAGGTCATTGGCCACAGATAAAATGACGGCAAATCAAGTTATATCTACGGTAGCTTTGATTGGCCTGATCATGTCAACATCATACTGTCACGTCTCCTCCCGTTGCTCCCCTCCAGCGCTCTGATTCGCCGGTCTACTGAGCCACCGGTCTGAGCGCACCACCTCGGCAAACACAGGAATGGAAATCCAACGCACCCTAATCACCTCCAGCGCACCTCATCATCTCATCACCACCACTATATAGCCCTGGACTGTTCGTTCATTGTTGTGTGTAATTGTTACCGTCGTGTCGTTTACTCACTCTTTGTTATTCTCTTTCTCATTGTTAAGTAAACCTTTACCTTGTTAATTCTTGCGTCTGCTTTCTGCACTTCGTATACTCAGTACTCGTCACAGAAATACACACAACTCACGAAAATGGATGCAGCAGGAGTTTCCCAGCGCC